ACTTAAAGCTAAGCGTGGCTCGCAGAGAAACTGTAGAGTTTTCCACTTGCGCCAAGCCAATAGCCGAGTTAGAAGGATATGGCATCGGTGAATATTGTCCAAGAAACATACCAAGGAAAGAGTTACGCTTGGCAGATGAATTCCCGTGAAATTTCTATTTTTAATTACCATTCCTACTACACTTACTTGAAATCGACGTCTACTTATCACAACTCTACGCTATCCCGTGCATTGTGGCTAAAAGAAAATGTCATATATTTCATCATTAAGAAAGACGTGATGATCATGATAAAATATTCGTAAATCCCCCAAGTCCAACAAAAGTCCTCCATATACATGCAGTGCCACCCATCAAGCCACCATGGGTAGCAGTTCTCCTAATTAAAATCATGTCTCGTGATCGCCCAGCCAGAAATATGCAATCAAAGTCTTGACCTGAAAGCATTCCGCGGAGCAGGCGAAATAGGCGCAGCGTCTTGGATGAGACGGCTCATCCCGGGATCATAAAGTGCCTCCGCCGAGACCGTTGCCGGAATCCTCTTTCCAAAGTATTCAATCTCCACACTCTCACCATCATTCACGCTCCCAGGAAGCCAAGCATACGCAACAGGCTGGCCAATCGTATACCCGAATGCAGCGCTTGTGACATAGCCAACTGCCTTTCCATTGTAGAAGACAGGTTCCTTGCCCAGGACGACTGAACGACCATCATTAATGGTCAGAGGCCGGAGACGACGAGTAGGTGTTTGTGTTGAGAGACGCTGGATAGCAGCCTTGCCAACGAAGTCATCACTCTTATTTGAGTCAATAGCGTAGGCGACTCCAGCTTCGAAGGGGTTGTGTTCGGTGGTCATATCCACACCGTAGGTTCGATACCCCTTTTCAATTCTCAATGAGTTGAAAGCGCTACGGCCGCCGGCAATGAGACCGTGCAATTTTCCTGCTTGCCAGATAATGTCCCAAAGCCGTTGGCCATACTCGGCGCTGGACTGAATTTCCCAGCCTAGCTCGCCGACGTAGGACTTGCGGATAATTGTTACCGGGATACCGGCGAGAATGGTCTTCTTAACTCCGAAGTAAGGCAGGGCTTTATTGGAGAAGTCGTCTGCGCTGATTGCGCTGATGACTTCCCGAGCGCGCGGACCCCAGAGGCCGATGCAGCATGTGCTGCCTGTGATATCGCGGACTTGGGCCCATTGGCTGCCGTGCTTTCCTTGAAGGCGCGCCTCTTTTTGGAGGTAGGCTAGCTCGGTGGCACTGTTTGCGCCGATTTGGAATACATCGTCTTCCAATCTGGACACGAAGATGTCACCGCGGATACCACCGTGGTTGTTGAGAAGAAGGGTGTAGGTGACGCTGCCTGGCTTGGCGGTCATGTTGCCGGTGGTGAGTCGTTGGAGTAATTGAACAGCGCCTGGACCAGAGACCTCAAATCGATGAAAGGAAGTCATATCAAACATGGCGACCGCGTTTCGTGTCTTCCAAGCCTCGGCCGCGGAAATGGGCGAATGGAACTGCGCCGACCAAGCATCTCTCTCGACAGGCCTCCATGATGCCGGGAGAGCCTTGACCAGATCTTTGTTCGCTTCGTACCACCACGGTCTCTCCCAACCACCCGTCTCTAGGAAGAAAGCTCCGAGCTCTTGTTGGCGGGCATGGAATGGACTGACACGAAGCTTGCGGGGAGACTCTCGCGGTTGAAGCGGGTGAAGAATATCGTATATCTCAACGAAGTTCTGCTGCGATGTCTCGCTCACGTATTCGGGGCTGAGTTGGACTTCCTCGAAGCGAGATAGCTCGCATTCTGAGACGTCGATGTCCGAGTGACCGGTTGTGAGGATCTGAGCCAGGGCTCGCGCGACGCCGGCTGAATGCGTTACCCACACTGCTTCGGCTACGTAGAAGCCGTCGAGGTGAGATGGTTGGCCGAGAATGGGGCCTCCATCAGGTGTGAATGAGAATACACCGTTGAAGCCGTCGGCGATCTCGGTTTCTTGGAGGATGGGAAGGAGAGATTGGGTTTCTTTCCAGGCTGGGTCGAAGTCTTCTTTTGTGAATTCCAGACGAGAGGGCATATTGTGTTCGTCGACGTGCTTTGGTGTTAGGCCTAGTGAGGAAGCGATAACGGGCATTGGACGGTGTCCGTAGTATCCAATGCCGTACTGTTCACCATGTTCGCGGTAGTAGAGGTCCTGGTCTTGGTGTCGGAGAATTGGAAGAGTAGCATTCATGCCGTTGATCTGGGAGTTGATATCACGGCCAGCGAGGGCAGGGACCGCAGTTGTCTTCGCATACTGGTGCGCTAGGGGAAGTAATGGAATCTGCACTCCAACCATGGCTCCTAGCTCAACACCCCAGAAACCAGCACAGGAGACCACGATATCTGCTGGAATGCTTCCATTGGGAGTAGTCACTCCGGTCACACGAGAGCCTGCACGCTCGATACCGGTAACTGGCGTATGTTCAAGGTACCGGACGCCCGCCTGTTTCGTGCGTTCGATAAGGAGCTGTGTGGCACGAGCTGCTAGTGCGAGACCATCGCTGGGAATATGCAAACCCCCCAACACCATATCATGGTTCAAATGAGGGTACATTTTAAAGCACTCCTCGGCGCTCACCAGACGTGCCTCGATCCCCCACGCGGAGGCATATCCAAGCTTACGCTTTAGCTCCTCCAGCCTTGCCGGCGTGGTGGCAACCTCGAGCCCACCCACCTGGTTGAAACACTTTTGTCCATCCTTCTCAATCGATAGAAGCTTCTCAACTGTGTAGCGTGCGAGGTGTGTCATGGTTTTGGAGGTATTGGTCTGGAAGACGAGACCAGGGGCATGTGACGTCGACCCGCCAGGCATATTCAGCGGGCCTTGCTCGACGACGGTGATATCCGTCCATCCTCGAGAGGCCAGCTCATCGGCGAGGTTAGTGCCGACGATTCCCGCACCGATGATGATAACGCGTTGTGAAAGGGACATTCCAAGGTTAATATACGACGAGTAATATGGTGGCCAATAAAGCGGGCGTGGCTGCTATTTGTATACCCTTGATAAGAGCAATGTGTACCCTGCTAACTCCCCGCACTCCGCAGAGCCGGTACGATGTTATCGTCAAGCTGATAATGAGGCCATGCCCCGCACGGGTTACGGTGATATATGGCCGAGCATGTCTGTCACGGTCCTCTTACGGTCCCGGGTTTCCCAGAAACGGATTGGAGGGGCAGGTTATTGCCCCACGTTCATGGGCGATAACTTAAGTACAGTGGGCAATAATGATCGACAAGGCAGCTCCGTGAAGAGCTCATTCGTCAACAGTGGATAAGATTTCCTTTTTCGGTGCTCTGCTCGGGGTCCAGATTGGAACCGAATGTTAGTATGAGGGGCAGGAGCATGGGTGACTTCATGGGACTGAGGTATTGTCCAATGAGAAACAGTCCGTGAAGTTCCTATATCTGTTCCGATCAGCTGTTTGTGCTGGTTTTGGGGTGGAAGTAGGGATGCATTGTTGCCTCAGGCAGCAACTACCGATATACTCCTACCACGTGATCGGCATTGGGCCGAGATCCGACAGCCAATCGATTCGTAGACTTGCATATAGACAGGATAATGTCTGGCAAGTCTTGCCGTTTTTGCTCACTGAGTAGAAGTGAGCACGCCCTGAGTATCACCTGATCGTTATGTAAGCCCGATGCCTCGCTCACTGAGCATGGCTTGAGCGCTCTGATTTGCTCACTGAGCAGCCTGATCGTACTCACTGACCACGACCTGAGCAAAGCGCGGGAGCAGCTCAGTCAGCAGCTCACCTCAAACAAACGCACCACGCTAGTCCAGGGGTTCTAGCTCAGCGGGACCCGTGAAAAGTTCAACAGACCAGCGAACATGATGACTAATGACGGGTCCCGCTGAGCTGGGTGCCCGATTTGGGAAACACCCGGAGTTTATCTAGCCTAGCTCTCCCGGGAGCCTCCCGATAGGCTCGATACGCTAATAAACGCGACCATGAAAGTCGAGTGTTTATTGAATTGGAGAGCTTGTTTTGCGGAGTACCCCTCGACACAAGAAAACATTGCGACCTGAATCAGCTTGAAAAGGCCCTGGCTGCAAGTTCCGTCTGGATCCTCGACTGCGTTGAACACTTAGCATTCCGCATTCCTGCAACATGGCCGCTCAACGCAGCGCAGGAAAACAGGATCTGCCCGTTCATGACAGCCAGGACAGGGGTGTTCGGCCATGTTTATCGGTCGCCCTATGTGCGCTACTTCTTGGATACTCCATCGGGCTATCTGCCGCCCCATCACCCACTTCCTATACCGCTTCCTTGAATAGGCACTGTATTTTACATGACACGTGTGAGACTAGAAGAATGTATTTTACACGAAACTGCTACACACACACTCTACCTCAGTGCCCCCTCCTTCCCTCCTGCCCACCTTTGAATACTGACTGGCTTCCGTCTTGGCTCAGGAGAGCCAAATTTGCGCGGAACATTAAACCACACCTCGGCTGTCAAGCCAAGCATCGGAATCCGATTTAGGTCAAAAAGAGTCCATATTCCAGAAATTCAAGGACAACCGCATTGTTTAGTTTGTCTGCATGAAAGATTTCGCACTATTCTACGAGGGGCATAGATCACCGTTGGAACAGCGCCTCCATATGTTTCTGCATCTGAAAAATTCGAGGGAAAGCGCACGCTAGATCGCAACATGGCCCCAGTCTGGTCTGCCCTTACGGAAAATAAATTGGATCGCGGTTCCAAGCGGTCATTTTGTAACCTCAACCGGCTGTAATTCCAAAAGGAGCTTAACTTCCGCGGCGATGATCTCGACATCCCTCGTATTCACGCGCCAAGTCCTGTGCTATTTTGATGTCTCGTATTCGAGATATTCAAAATATATGCAGCAATCAGGCCCTGGATCTGGAAGAAGGACGCATTCCCCCACCCTGTTCTTGGATAAATACCACAAGCAGGCGCTTCTTGAAATAGTACTCATTGTCAAACCCGCAGTTATGGATATCCTTGCCACTTTAGATCCCAATGATCTCTTCTCTGCCAAGGGCCTCGTCGTCGTCATTACAGGGGGAGGCAGTGGTATGCCCTTAATTCTCACAGTGTGTTCACTAACCCTGATATTTCTTAGGGATTGGCCTCGCCATAACCTCGTGTCTAAGCCAAGCTGGTGCCGCCCGTGTTTATATCCTCGGCCGCCGCCTATCTACACTCCAGGAAGCTGCTAGGAGTGTCGGTGACGCTGTTGTACCAGTACAATGCGATATCACTAACTGTTCCTCCGTTTCGGCCGCTGTTGCGAAGATAGAAGACGAAATTGGCTATATTGATGTTTTAATCAATAATGCCGGCGTGCAGGGCCCCGATCACAAGCCTGCTAGAGATGCGGAAACAATCGAGGACCTGCAGAAGATCTTACTCATCGATCCAGAAGGATGGCAGCCTACCTTCGCAGCTAATTCAAGTGCAGTTGTTGGAGTCTCAGCCGCTTTCCTGAAACTTCTTGATGCCGGAAACAGACGGCGGGGCTGGGAAGGAGGCAAGATTCCTTTGGGACGACCTCGGCAGCGCGATATCACAGGCTTCACGGACGATGAGAGAAGTAGCCAGATAATAACAGTCGGGAGTATCTCTGGCCTTAATCGCTTCATAACAGCGGGGTTAGCCTATGGCGCGAGCAAGGCTGCAGCAATTCATTTGAGTAAGATGTTGGCCTACTTATTGGCACCGTGGGGAATTAGAAGTAACGTGATAAATCCTGGAGGTGAGTTTGCAGGAGCCCCCATATCATTTAGTTTTTGCTGGACCGTAACTAACCACTTATAGTGTATCCTTCAAGCATGACAGCTGGAACCAAAGACAATTACAGCTACATGGAAGTCCCCGCTGGCCGGAAAGGTGGCTATCGGGATATTTGTGGTGTCGTTCTGTATCTTGTAGGGAAGGCCGGAGCTTATGTCAATGGCAGCATGGAGAATACAGATGGAGGCCGCCTGAGCGTGATGCCTGCAACATATTAACCGTTGTTGATAAATGTTAAAGTACTGTATAAACATCTGACACGTTCGATACAAAATGCAAGGCAGTACATCTATCATTATCATTGGCGTTGACTTTTAAGGCTTATAGGTGGCCTAAGAAGGAACTACAGTCCACAGTCTTCATAGTTTTGCGGTTGTCGTCTCCCTAATCTGTTTCTGGCTGTAAGACACAATGCAGTTTAACCTTAAAGATTTACCGAGTGAAGAGGCACGCCGAGCAACTGATTTCTTGGCACGGTCCTCTAGACCCGACTAAGTGTTATGGCGATTGTTTACGCTAGCAAAGCTCGTGAAGAATGGTGTTTCCTAAGTGATGTTTCGCATAGATACTCGCTCGGGAGTCAATTAATCTCTAATCTCTAGATAAAATCAAACATAGGCTTAAGGCTGTACGTATGTCGGTGGATTCTAAAGACGTAATGCAGGGTTGTAAAATTAAAAGTGTAGGGAAACTAATGTTACGGGTTATATGTCGTCTCTCTACCCCCCGTCCCAGTACAAAAATTCGTGAAGCTGATATTATTTATTTAGCACATCTATATAGAATATTACTATTTACCTAGACAACATCTGTCATGGAGGGAGAAATCGCCGATATTATAAACTAGGAAAGAAAAATAGGTATACATTGGAGAGTACATGATCATTCTTAGCCCCAGGCTTACTTCTTGCAAGAAAAAGTCTAATGCGCAATGTATCTTTCGTATAGGGCTAGCGTATTATATTGTCTATACAACGACTCTGGGTCGCTCAAACTTTGTGAAAAGTGTTTCATTTGATGATACCTATCAATTTAGACTAAATCGTTGCCAAAATCCTAAAACGAAAGAGGTTCACAAAAATAGGTGAACAGAATCAAGACAAAAAGGTAAAATATACTCAAATTTTGAATGTGAACCAATTTGCACTCAAATAGGAAAGCCCCCGCCCGGCAGACATTATCCTGTCTATATAGGCGCATATAGTAGCCATGAACAACACTCATTCGAAGACAGATGCGACCTGCGTCCATGAAGAATTGACCTGGTTTAGAGTTTAGAGAACAAACATAGAGCTCGTCATCCATCGCTGCTACTACTACGACAACGACGTCAGATGGAGCGTTTTCTCGAGCGACTGAAAGATTTCTGACGAGAAGAAATACTCAATCCTGATTTCAATTAGGGCGATGCTGGGAGAGTAACTTCCCTCAACTAGAGTGGCAAACCAGCAGGACTCCTCACTGGATGAGTACCTAGTGCATGGCGGAGGGAGTACGGACTACAAGGAGTCAAACGCTCACATAGTGGTGCTTGACATGCAGTGGCTTGATTGAAAGGAAAATTCTCATGAAAATGACGACGACGACTTCCAAGTCGGCTGGATGAACGTCTTAGCAATCACATTCTAATATCCACGATCGTACATGATGCTTCAATGTGGCTTGTGCAGACGGTTATTTATAGCGATCTCCCGCGATATCGCGTTTGCTATGAGCTCATATAAGATTGGGGTCGCTTGATGATGGCTCTCGCCTGCGGTGTCTCCGAAAGTCCGAAAGAAGCAATATCAATGCTGCATAGCTGGAATTAGCGGCTCTTCTTATAACGGGCGACATATAACATATAAATATGTGGGGAAACTCTGAATATCATAACAAGCTGTTCTATTAAAGTGCATAGATCTGAGCTAAACCGTTGACAAGTATTGCCATTGGCAACACATTCCAACATCGAGGTCAGAAATGGTGCAATCGCCAATTTACGGCCTGTGATTGGTCAGAAACAGATTAGACTGCAAGGGCTAAAACGGTGGCTGTGGAGTAAACAAAAGATCTATAAACATCGAACAACATCCTGCTTTTCATTTAATTCAAATATTCCACGCTATATCGGTAAACGACATGGCCAAACTGGAAAGACAACCCCAGAATGACAGCGGGGCGTTTGACGTTCGGCTGGGGCCGATCCGTGGGGAAAACAAGAATCTCCTTCACCCTTGACCGGGACTTCTCAAGACAAACCGTACATCTCTTTTGCAATGCGACAATAAATACCTTACTTACACCGTTCATCATGCCTGAAAGCTCCTCGAACCGCCCAGTTTCTGGAGAACCGCCCATTGCTGTCTTGACCGACTCCCGCCCGACATCCGCTCACAGTGACGATCGGGAGGCGTTGGAGCTTCATCGCCTCCAAACGCGCGAAGACGACGAGTTAGACTACTCCAACCCCTCGGCTTCATCTGGGGAGGAGTATCGTGTAACTACTACACATCGTACTACCTCTCGGACTAGTACCCAAGAACGTGCAGCTGGCAAGGGCCCGTGGAGCCGGATCTGTCGGTTCTGGTGCCGACATGTCATCTTGACAGTAGCTCAAAAGAGCAATCGCGATCATTTTGGTGAGTATTACCGTTTTAATTGTAACTCTCTGGGCCAACTGGAAACAGTTAATGTCAATTCCATGATGGACATTGATGTGACGTTTCCAGATCTGTCACATTCCCGAGAGACTTGCAACGAATTGAACACACCGCTGACTCCCCCCAAGCTTTGGAAAGGACATTTCTGGCCTATATTCGCACTTCCACTGTTATCGCTATGCAGGGTGTGCTTATCGCCCAACTGTTCCGCCTACAGCGGCCAAACACTGACGTCCATCGCCTCTCATTCCACGCGGTTGGCATTCCACTCTCGGTCGCTTGCCACTTTGTTGCTGTTCTAGTCACCTTGGTAGGTGCTTTTCGATTCTGGAGACAGCAAAATGCTATTTCCCGTGGTAAAGTGCATGCTGGTGGATGGGATATGAACTCTGTGGGAATCTTTCTCTTCATAGTGGGTGTCATCGAACCCTACATGTTCAAGTCGGTACTAATGTGGTTATCTCAGATTATCCTTGCGACATTAGTCTTATCCGTCATCATACTAATCCAAATTGACCAGCAACCCGGGGCGTTGTTCAATCGAATATTGCGGTTATGATTTCTGTTCGCTGACTACTCTAACATTGTCATGCCGGCATCACAAAAGCGAGTCAAAGAATTATCAAAAGCATACAGGCGGTTACTTCATCAACTCATATCAATTTAATCATAGTGTCATTGCAAAGATATCTATAACTTTCCATGACGGACATGTCTGACAAGCTATGCACTCCTTCGGCGTAATCACCTCAACAGCCTGTCGATTTCCCTTGCTTCTTTTTCCGCATCAAAAGGTGCAACATGCACCCCATCCCAAACCCCACCATCAGCCGGCATCAAGTCCACAGTCTTACCACGCGCAAGTAACGCAGGATAAAACTTCGTAATCAAAGACCGAATCGCAACCCTAAAGACCTCAGAATAATCCAAACCCCCATCCAGCCCATCCAGCCCAAGCGTAACATCGACAGCCTTAACAAAAAGAACCCCATCCCCACCCCCAGATTCGGACCCAACAACAGACCGAATACATTCCCCGTCAACCATAAGACACATGTGCGCCTGAAGACCAGCAACCAGCCGATCCTCAGGCTCATCGTCCTCTATATCCTCCGCACAAAGCTGATACGCAAACGCCACCCGTTCAGCCGATTCATTCGCCAACGAATCATCATCAACAGTATTCATAAAGACACACTCCGCAACGTGGGATAATCCCGATTCGGCCGGTGCATTTTTAATCCTCTCGTCTAGGGTTTCGTTGTATTTTTGGAGGAATTGGGCCCAGAGGTCTTCGTTACTGTAGTCTGTGCGGAAAACTAGGAATCCAAAGTCCGTCCAGTTTCGGCTTCGATTGTTTCTACTAGGATTTGGAGGTTTTCAAATGTTGGTTCTGGTCCTTTGCTTGGTTCTAAGTCCTTCTGAATTTTACCCATTCTTGCGTTTTATGTCTGAAAACTCACGCATGGTTTATAGATCTCAAAAGGAGATCGACTGCGGTGAGCACATTGGTTGTTCTTACGGCTTGGATCACTTAATAGGAATACATATATTTGAAGTTTACAGGCAAGAATTGATATATAGAAATGTTCATTGGTGAATATATTCCTCTTTACTATTTGTAAATGTTCAACATATTGGTGCCTCAGGCATCTGATGAATAAACCACGCGAAATGCCGAGGTCCATTTGCATAAGTGAAGACTCGACAATTCATTCGCCAAGGCCATTTTATTCTTCCCAACGATCCACTTGCTTTGAAGAGATTGGCGCATGTTATCGATCAGTTCCCAACCATATGGCTTGCCGGCCAATGTTGTATGTGATTCCCCGGACGAATTCCCACAACGGGCCGGCCACCGATGGATATTTTTTTCCCTTGAAGGAGTTGGTTTATAACTAGAAAGAGCCACCCACTGGAAGCATTCAACCACCTGTCACTGTACTAAATTGAGATACCCTGCACAAGCCCCAGCATCTCCACAATCCATACTGGCATAATGTCTCCACGGCCAATCCCATTCCCAGGCTTCACCCCGATATCTGATCGGGTGTACCTTCGCAATGGCAACGAAAAAAGCAAGCCCGTCCCTGCTGACGAGCCAACAACAATTATCATCTCAGGCTGGGGCGATGGCATGCCAAAGCACGTCTCCAAGTATTCCGATGGCTTCCATGAGCTCTTCCCATCTTCACGCATTATTGTGATCCTGTCGGGTACTCTTCAAGCCTCAAACCAGCAAGAAGAAGCAAGAATCGAAGCTATGATGCCAGTAGTCGACACTATTTTCCCTACTCCAACTGGAAGCGGCGGTGAAGAGGAGCGCGTCCTGATCCATGCCATGTCCAATACGGGCGCAATCTTCGCCGCAGCCGCTGTTGTCGGATATCAACGACGACATGGCACCGACAAGACCTTCCCCCACAAGCTCTTGATTTGTGACTCCACTCCTGGAAGTTTGGACTTCGCATCTCAGGTTGGTCGTTGGTCGCACGCTATGGCCGTCGGCACAGCGAAATTCTTCCCCTGGCCCGCTATTATCACACAGGGTCTGTGGTATATCTTCCTCTGGGCGAACTGGGCTTTTGAACGACTGCGCGGGTCAGAGCCCTCCGGCGTTTGGGCGAACCGGGTTATGACCGATAAAAGTATCACATCGACCGATTCTCACAGGTTGTATCTGTATTCCAAAGAAGATGAAATTATTGGATGGAAGGATCTTGAGGAGAATGTTGCTGGCGTGAAAGCTTTGGGCTGGCCAGTTGATTTGGAAATGTTTGAAGGTTCGCCGCATGTCGGACATATGAGACTGCATCCTGAGCAGTACTGGAATAAGATTTCCAATGCTTGGAAACAAGCGGTCGCCGATAAATAATTTTTGGATCATTGGACATTGCATCGGGAACAATTGTATTCTTAGCTTAGACCATATATAATACTTAGAGGCATCTCCTCGCGTCAATATTTTACGAACGCTCGCAGAGTCCCAAAAGTAATTTATCAATTTAATAATTAATTAAGAGTGTTACTAAACAACTGGCGTCTCTCACATGGTGTCAATTTAATACAAGACCACAACCTAAAGTTCACTATGCAAATCAATCGCGGTCATCAGGATGGAAAACCAAAGCCCGAACCTCAATACTCTCCCGACCCGCCTCATTTTCTGTCTCGGGGTTAACAAAGGCAGTGTGTGGCACACGACGAGCCCGTCCATCCGTCTTTGAATCAAAGCACTTGATCAAAGTGACCAGATCCGGAGTCTGAGCATAGCGGTAGTACCACTTGATATCAGGATCCGGCTTCACAGTGTACGTCTCACCCTCACGATTAGGGTATATCAACTTAACAGGTACTAGATCACTGTCTGGAACTGAGTTTGCATCAGCGACCGCCAGGGGGTCTTTCAGTATAGTCTTGATTGGACGCCAAACGTTGATGATCTGATACCGGCCCTTTAGGAGCTCAGGTGCATCTTCTGGGAGATGGAAGGGGACTCTGCTTTTGGCTGCAGAGTAGGATTGGTCGATGTGGACGCGTTGAACTGGACCGCGGAGCTTTGCGACTCTGTCCTTGTCATTTGATGCTCGACGGATGGTATGGTCGAAGATGAAGATTCGAGAGGCACCCGTGCTATACCGGTCAGTTTTAGTTCAAACTCAGGCCGAGATAGGTTGCGCACGCGTCTTTTAGTAGTTGCTCCGTCTCTGGGTAATACTCCCTCTTGATCTTTTCATCATCTTGGAAATCTTTCTCTTGACTTTCGTGGTAGTAGAGCTGGAACCCATGGCCATCCAGCGTGTAGTCCAATTCATGGCCGCTGATATCGTGGATGGTGGCTGATAGGGTTGTCACAGGCCTATCGTAGGTCTCCGGTCTATCGGCGTATGTTGGTTCTGGAGGGGAGCCATCTTCATTTTCTTTCAGGAAGTTGAGTGTAGTCTGGACATGGTGAGGTTTCTCAGCAACAAGGATTTGAGGCTTTTCATCCAGCGAAACACCGTGAGAACCCGGGAGCTGAACAGCTGCAGAAGCCATATCGGTGGTTTGAAATGCAAATAGTTTATCTGGAAGAGATTCGCGATGTTATTGTCGGAGAAATTGAGGATGTTTCGATCGTTATATAGTAAAGCCATCCTGCGGGGTGAGTTTCATTTGTCAGAAACAGCACGCAATATTCGTATGACATGGAGAAATGCTGATAAATACGCTGCTTTGTTGCGAAGAATGTCAAGTCTAGCAATAACAAGTACATGTGATACAGTCGCATTATTAATTGTCTGTGTCCTGCATATCCAATTTATAATCCCGCGTTCTCCAGGATATCATTCGACAGTAAGGATGACGCAACAGAACACCCCTTATGAGAACAGTGACTTTTTAATTATCAAATGAGAGATTTCTTTTTCTCCAAGTTCTCTGGCGAGGTGGTTCTATGTTGGTTACCGCTTGGCACTCGTTAACAAACTAGGTAGGGTGCTCGGGGAAGGTAAGTGGCAAGCACTTACGGCTATTTCGATCACACTTTTTGAACTGTTCTTAACTTATGAACTTCACATGTTAATATTATGAAATTCGGTGTGCCATCTATCTTTAAACTGATTCTATAATCCTAACGCTAAGATATTCCAGACAGTCTTTACTACGATCAAAGTACCTTTGGGCTCTAGGTATTGTATCCTACTAGAGGACGTAAGTGGTGCGCACATCGACCCTGAAGCGACGCAAAAAAGAGGGCGATAGAAATGTAAAGTGAAAGAAAAAAGCCGTAAATCTTCTCAATGAACTCATTCTTCCTATTCCCGTGTCCAGCTCAACATTATATGTCGAACACATCCTCAATTTCCTCATAACATCTAGATCCTTCTATTCTGGTATAGCCACCATGAAATTATAACAATCAAGATCATAGGGATTATACTAATAAGCCACAATACCCATGCCTTCTTTTGCGCGGGATCCCCATATACACCAGCATCAACTAATGTTGCCGTAAAGGTGCCAGAAAATAATGCCACTGCCAATACAGAAATTACCTTCATTGATTGGCATCGATTGGCATCGATTGGAGTCTTCCTCTATGCCAAGGGCAATTTGAAGCGCAAGGCCATTGATAAGAGACAAAGTGCTGTCTTTTTGTAGCTTGTAGTCAAGGAACCAAAATTTCGGCTTCTCCATGGAATATATAACGTAAGATATTGAATCAGCACTCGCTGATGTATAAAGGGGTCGTGGTGAGGGAGCAATAAAACAAGGCGGGAATGAGCTTCTCGAATAGCTGAGGCTGATATGATGGAAACCCCAGTATTGCTAATATGGCTGTCTGCATTCTGACTGATAATAGTGAGGCTCTTCGTCAGATCCCCAAGCTCAGCGCGGTCTTTACCTGCGACATTACTGATGTGGTCGTCGATCTTGTTGAGTTGAATCCACAACGGGCGTTGGAAATTGTTCACATGGAGCTCGGAGCCCAGTACTCTGGTCGACCGATCATGTTGAGAAGGAAAACACGTTTATTTGCATGACCTTATCATTTGAAGAGTTTTGGAGAGTACCCCTTCATAATCAAACCGAGCCGTGCAAAGCTGGTCCAGTTAATATTGTATGAGAGTATAGGATACAAGACAAGCAATCTGTGGCCGGGTAAAGGGCAAGATGACGAACCGACAAATTATTCGAATTATATTGCTTGAGATAGGAGTCATCAGTTATTCAATTGAGTCTCGGGGTTTACTACAGGTCTTTGCATACCTATAAAAAGTTCCTACATGCCATACTCGTCCAACCTTCGCCACTCTAAATACGGTTAGCTTGAGACCTAGCCCACTTCAGTACTGGTTTCAGTGTACGTGACCCATGCGAGCCGCCATCCAAGCACTGCACGTCCGTCCAGATGGAGAATTTCTCTCTGTTGGCCAGATGCTTATGACACTGAACTGCTTCGAAGATCTGTTGGAGAGATTTCAGATCGCCTACTGGATGCTCCCTCCCACTAAAATTTAAATCGAAACCGAACATCGAACTTATCGACCTCTGTCATGTATTGAGTTCGACACCTCTCAGAAAGATGAAAGAGGAAAATACCTACTGCTTACGGGTACGAACATCGCTCTGTAGAAAATACTTTAGCTTTGCCAACCATAGTGCACAGCCCGAAATACGCAAGCTAATAATGCCTCCAGAGGGACAGTACTCTGGCCGACGCAATCATGCATCTTTCTTCGCATTAGCTGGTTGGCTCGCTTGAGTGCTAAGCCACTTAAGTGGCTGCAGGACGGAGAAGTTATCGCGCGGGGCTTTGAGCTGTGTATTTGAATCGTATTGCAGCGCAAGGAAGGAGAATTTGCTACCCAATGGATGGAAAAAAGAGCAAATACGGAAATATGTATCATCACACAGGGCAGTTAAAAATAATCTTCATACAATATTTTTGCGCTATACACTGGGATCCAGATGTGTTAGATACGTTTTAGCTACATAGTGAAGATCGGCACTTTCTTTGCATGAAATAACTTGATCCGATAACCTAAAGGGGTGTGAAAGGACTCAACTTATTTCCTATGACTATATCTCTTCCCCTTTCATCTCCTAAGGTCCGCTGCCCTATGGACTGTGTAAATCTACACATTGATGTGCTCCGACGTAAGTGTATAAGTGTATATCGAAGACTGTTGAGATTCATGGCTTGCTCAGGCATCTCCAGGCATTAAATGCCCGCTTCGCCAAAGCATGAAGCTCATGATCAGCATTCAACCTACCATGTATAGGATAGTTCAGGGGAAATGCTTCACATTAAATAGGATCTCTCCTTCATGAAGGAGAGATCAGACTTAAACCACCTCGTTGGCCTTGACCTACAAGCGTACTAGCATCATTCATCGTATTCTCCATTCAAATTTCAACAAAGACGAGGCATAGTGAGTGTGTTCTATTATTGTTTGAGTATTGCCGGCCAGAACATCGCCAACCCCGTTGCAATGATCTTCTGTCACATTTCAAAGATCCCCAGGCTGCTAGCAGTACTGGTGCTACATGTTGTGAGTATCTAGCATTTAAGTTAACGGACTCGACTGTATAAGAGGGAGATGGACTTCATGGATACGTTTGAACAAAATTTGTAGACGCAATTATGGACTGAAGAAAGAAAGAAAAAGCGTATGTATCATTAAGGTACAGCAAAAAACAGGCAACGACGAGAATCATGAAAGAATCATTTGTGCGATGGGGTCTTCGAATCGTACAGCTACCATATTGCTCACGCTGCAAACACGCCTTTTGCCAATGGGCTCGCAACAATTCTTGAGAAAGAATAATCAGACAGAGAAAGGAAAGCAAAAAAAAGGATCGCATCATACACCAATACCAGGAAAAAAAGCAAAGGAATGGAAAATCAAATCGCGAATAAGGCAGCTCAGAACGAAAAGGAAAAAGGAAAAAGGCCGATGGAAGACATCCAGCAGGTAAATAAAAGGGAATAGTTATTGTGGCAACTCAACATCATAGACAGAAGAAGTGAACGGTTGGCTTGCGTTGACCTCAACTCAGGTTCAAGGGATTAGAACATGAGGGAGCGGGTTTTCTGTCGACGTGCCTCGGCACCTCCCATTTCAGGTTGGGAATATGTGTGCTTGTGTTTGGAGCGAGGTGGCTGGGACGCCGGCGCCCCAGATCCTGCTGAAGAAGGCGGACCCATCATTGCACTGTTCCTATTCCGAGAAGGCGACGAGGGTGCTACTGGAATGCCGCTGCTGGGTCGGGAAGTCTCTTGTTTCGCCATCATGCTGCGCTCGCGCTTGAGCACAAGATCGGCCCAGGGCTTGATTGCGCCATTTCCGGAGGTAGAGCCCTTACCGACAGCCTCGGACATGACTCTGA